AGGAATTATTATATTAATCTTAACTTATATTATTTCCAGATTTTTACAATCATTTATTTATACATGAACTTTAAACTTTGGTGATCATCGTCATAATTATATCCAATAGTCACCAACTTAATTACAATATTTTTATCCAGTTCTCACTAATTTTAAAAATAACAATTGTATAAATAAGTTTTTATTTATACAATTGTTATTTTTATTTTTAATAATCTCAACACTCTCTTTAAATTTTCTGTTATATGTTTTCTTCTCTTTATGTAGAATCTGTATGTTAGTTTTATCTATGTTGCAGTCGTTTAGTACACAATGATCATGGAATACTGAGTTTAATCGGTGATACTTCAAATCAGACATATGTTCTTTAACCCTTATTTTTAGTTTGCGTTTTGTTTCGCCTATATAAAAACTGTTGTTTTTACATGTACATGGTATTTTATATACGATATTTTTCGTTTCTTCTTTATTTATTTTTTGTTTTCTCATACTTTGTTTAGCCTTCAATCTGGAGAATAGATTTTCATATTTTGGAGCAAGTTTCATATTATTTTTCTTCATTTCTGTATCTATTTGCTCATACATATTTTTTATGTATGGAAAACCTACATATTTTACTTTTGTTTTGGTAGCATTATCTATTATTTTTTGCCATTTATTAATTAATTAATCTGATTGGATATCCGTTTATGTTGAATTTTTTCTTTAAATTATTTATATGTTTATTTTTAATAATTTCGTTATTTTATTTTTAATATTTTCGTGGACTCGAAAAGCACTCCATGGCAGGCATCCTTATGACCTGGCCCAGGATTTTGTTGACAAAACTGCGTAAAACAGCTGGTTAGATCAGGATGCCTCTTTGTGGAGACGGAAGGATTCATGATTGCCATACAGGATCAGGTCATAAATACTAAAAACTACAGAAAACACATACTCAAAGATACAACACTCACAAATGACACATGAAGAAAATGTCACATCATGCCAGAAACTATACAACACATCACTTCTGGTTGCAAGCTCTTGGCACAGACAGATTACTTACATAGACACAATCAAGTAGCAAATATAATACACCAAGAGCTTGCAAAGAAA